GAGAGAGAGGAGAGAAGAGAGGAGAGAGGAGAGAGAGAGGAGAGAGAGAGAGAGAGAGAGAGGGAAAGATAGAGAGAGAGAGAGAGAGAGAGAGGAGAGAGAGAGATGAGAGAGAGAGGAGAGGAGGTGAGAGAGAGAGAGAGAGAGAGAGTGAGAGAGAGAGAGAAGAGAGAGAGAGAGAGAGAGAGTAAAAGTGTGTGTTTACCCCTGAGGTGTGTTGTGGCAATGTGTACTACGAGGAGAGTGAGGAGGTGAGTCTGGCTCAGGTGTCGCAGTATGGAGGAGCACCTCACCTGGGCATCACCCACGCTGGCTCCTGCCCTGCTGCTACCCCTAGGTTGGCGCCCCTCAGTTGCAACGCCACCCCGCGACACCTGCCCAACGGGAGGCTACCTGTGGCAGCCATAAATAGTGCTGCTGCCTGTGACCTGGAAGCCGTCGGGGAGAAGTACTGGGGAGAGGTGAGGAAAATACGTCTCTGTGATCTTTTACAGGGAATGATGCCTTTGTTTATACCAGTACGTACTGGGTATCTTCATTTATACCAGAATATATTTAGAATCAAAGATAAGAAAGCTATTATAGATACTATTTCTTAATTTTTATATGATTACAAATGCCCTCATTTATGCAGACTTGGTTTATTGTGACGGAGTTTGTTAAATATAGACTAATATGGCCAGTTAACCTGCCTAACTTTCTTAATGATTGTTAGGTAAAAGGACACAAGTGAAATTAATGTGACATTTTATTGTGGCAACGTTTCGCTCTCCAGGAGCTTTGTCAGGCTTGACAAAGTTCCTGGAGAGCGAAACGTTGCTACACTATAATGTCGCATTAGTTGCAGTTGTGTCCTTAGACCTAACATATTGTAGATAATTTTACCACCATTATTAATCCTGACTCTTAACACAACGTATGTATAACCTATGATTTTTTTCTTTTTTTCTCTTCCCCAGTCACTGCATGTACACAGAGAGTCATAAGCCAATATTAATATACAGTTTCACTCATTATATGTCTTTTCCTTCCATAACACTGGACACTTGGAGTGTCCTCACCACATAAGCATTTCATATTACACCGGCAGATTTTGGAGCGCACTGTGTCCTCTACATCGCTGCAGAACCTGCAGAGAATCTACGGCAACGGGTCGAGTGTGTGTCCTAACCTGCGTCTGATCAGTACCAGCTCAACTCTACATGACACTCGAGGAGGGTCGAGTGTGTGCCCTGACCTGCACCTGGTCAGTACCAGCTCAACTCTACATGACACTCGAGGAGGGTCGAGTATGTGCCCTGACCTGCACCTGGTCAGAAGCAGTGCTACGCTACCTAACACACGAGGCTCACACAACGCCGTCTGGGCTCCCTGAATCTCGCTCACAAAATTATACGAATTTAAAAAACATATATATACATTCCTGTCATTTTCCTTCTGGAAAAACGAATACAAAGAAGGAAAATGACGATTGAGCGGGACGCTTAAGGGTCACGTCAGTTCCCCTGTTTACTAATAATACGTTATTTTTCCCCTATAACCTAAGATTTGTTAAGTTATACCAAGAATTAAGGAAAGATCCTGGACTTCACCTTACGAAACAGACAAAGTAAATACGATATTAATTATGGGCAAGGTAGATAGTAGTGGAAAAATGAACATGATGGCAGGAGACAGGGAAACTCAGGCGCCTCTTAACAATTACCGAAATCAGTAAAGGTTATGGAAGGTTATATAACGTATTGGAATGAGACAAAGTGTCATTAATGGAATCAAATATTTTTATATTAATGAATATTTACACTAGCATTTTTTTCTTCTAGTTTGAAAATGTTCATTGAAGGTTTTCCCAATATGTTGACAATATATTTTTTTTATTTGATAAAATTTTGAGGATATTATTTTTTTTTTGTTCGGGTAATTGATGTAGCCACCGAGTTATGTCTTGATATCTGTCGTTTATCAGGTAAAGTATAGCAGTTAGTTCTTGTATCCATCTTTTACTACACAGCTACAGTCTTATCCATACTTTACAACACAGCTACAGTCTTATCCATACTTTACAACACAGCTACAGTCTTATCCATACTTTACAACAGAGCTACAGTCTTATCCAGCCCTTGCAACAGAACTAATAATCCTTAGTGCATCTAAACATTCCTACAGTGCTTGTAATTAGTTGTGTATCTCTCCTTCACCACATAGCTAACCGCTCATTTTTATATCTATTTGTTAACCATTTAGGTTCACATAATGAGGCCCAAGATAGTTATTACATCTTATTAACGGCAAAATACATATTGAAGTCTAAAAAATTTTTGTCTTGAAGCCTCTTGGGTGACTTCAAGATGTGGTACTCGCAGATCTTCCAGAGTTCATCAGCAGTGACGGCTGAGACTCCAACCAGGCGAGTCCTGGAAACTCAAAGGTCGCTGTGTTAACCACTGGACGATGCCGGCATGCTATTACGATTTAGATAGTCATATATATAGCTGCTGATTTATATATATATATGTATATATATATATATATATATATATATATATATATATATATATATATATATAATATATATATATATATATATATATATATATATATATATAATATTATATTATATATATATATATATATATATATATTTAGAGAGAATGGATCAAAGTAGAATGACATGGAAAGCATATAAATCTATAGGGGAAGGAAAGAGGGGTAGGGGTTCGTCCTCGAAAGGGTTGGAAAGAGGGGGTAAAGGAGGTTTTGTGGGGCGAGGGGCTTGGACTTCCAGCAAGCGTGCATGAGCGTGTTAGATAGGAGTGAATGGAGAAAAATGATACTTGGGACCTAGCTTTTGGGAGGTGAAGGGTAATATTTATGAAGGGTTTCGGGGAAAAACCGGTTTTTTTTTTATATAGTCGGACTGAGTCCTGGAAATGGGAAGTCAAACCTGCACTTTAAAAGGGGTGGTTTGGGATATTGGCATTTTGGGGGGGAAATTTTTGATCTTTATACGTATATGCTTCTAAAATGTTGTTTTGAGACCTCTGCAAAAACAGTGATAATTTGGTTGGTGAAAATGTTAATGATGTGAAGATTTTTTTTTTTGGGGGGTTTTCTTTCTTTTTTGGGCACCCTGCCCGGTGGGGACGAGAACCCTTTTTGAATAAATATATATATATATTAAAAAATTTTATAATATATTATAATATATTTAAAAATATTAAATATATATATATATATATATAAATATATAATATATATATATATGAATATATTAAATAAATCAGGGGCAGAAGCCATATTTTGGGGCTGCATTTTTGAGTATGCTGGGAAAAGGGAAACAATCTAATTTTTCTAAAATTAAGATTGGTTGCTGTAGGCTGTCTACCTTCTTGTTTTGGGGGAGCTGTTGGTGGGCATAATGACAAAATTTCAACACTCGCGTAGCTCATTTTTTTCCGATTAATACCCGGGGTCCCCCTTTTAAGCCATGAGGGGGGCGCCTGTGTTGACCAGAAGGGTGCCCCGTGTTGACCCCGAAGGGTTCCTGTGTTGACCACGAAGGCTGTCCTGTGTTGACCACGAAGGCTGTCCTGTGTTGACCACGAAGGCTGTCCTGTGTTGACCACGAAGGCTGTCCTGTGTTGACCACGAAGGCTGTCCTGTGTTGACCACGGGCATTGTTCTTGTCACACGTAACTTACTCCTGGGATCTTGTTGTGTGCCACACACATACATCTCAACAAGACATGGCATAAAGTCCTGCACTTGTAATTTCGGGTTTAATATTTGACATGCGTAGAAGAGATTATTATTATAATCAAAAAGAAGCCTGAACCACAAGGGTTATACAGTACATAGAAGAGATAATGTTTTAAATTAGCTACCTGCAGCTGTAGAGAACACCTTGATGTTACGTTACTGAGAAGAGTCACTCGTAGAGGACACCTTGATGTTACGTTGCTGAGAAGAGTCAGTCGTAGAGGACACCTTGATGTTACGTTACTGAGAAGAGTCACTCGTAGAGGACACCTTGATGTTACGTTGCTGAGAAGAGTCAGTCGTAGAGGACACCTTGATGTTACGTTACTGAGAAGAGTCAGTCGTAGAGGACACCTTGATGTTACGTTACTGAGAAGAGTCACTCGTAGAGAACACCTTGATGTTACGTTACTGAGAAGAGTCAGTCGTAGAGGACACCTTGATGTTACGTTACTGAGAAGAGTCACTCGTAGAGAACACCTTGATGTTACGTTGCTGAGAAGAGTCACTCGTAGAGAACACCTTGATGTTACGTTACTGAGAAGAGTCGCTCGTAGAGAACACCTTGATGTTACGTTACTGAGAAGAGTCGCTCGTAGGAACACCTTGATGTTAACGTTACTGAGAAGAGTCGCTCGTAGAGAACACCTTGATGTTACGTTACTGAGAAGAGTCACTCGTAGAGAACACCTTGATGTTACGTTACTGAGAAGAGTCGCTCGTAGAGAACACCTTGATGTTACGTTACTGAGAAGAGTCGCTCGTAGAGAACACCTTGATGTTACGTTACTGAGAAGAGTCACTCGTAGAGAACACCTTGATGTTACGTTACTGAGAAGAGTCGCTCGAGTAGAAACACCTTGATGTTACGTTACTGAGAAGAGTCGCCGTAGAGAACACCTTGATGTTACGTTACTGAGAAGAGTCACTCGTAGAGAACACCTTGATGTTACGTTACTGAGAAGAGTCACTCGTAGAGAACACCTTGATGTTACGTTACTGAGAAGAGTCACTCGTAGAGAACACCTTGATGTTACGTTACTGAGAAGAGTCGCTCGTAGAGAACACCTTGATGTTACGTTACTGAGAAGAGTCACTCGTAGAGAACACCTTGATGTTACGTTACTGAGAAGAGTCACTCGTAGAGACACCTTGATGTTACGTTACTGAGAAGAGTCACTCGTAGAGAACACCTTGATGTTACGTTACTGAGAAGAGTCGCTCGTAGAGAACACCTTGATGTTACGTTACTGAGAAGAGTCGCTCGTAGAGAACACCTTGATGTTACGTTACTGAGAAGAGTCGCTCGTAGAGAACACCTTGATGTTACGTTACTGAGAAGAGTCACTCGTAGAGAACACCTTGATGTTACGTTACTGAGAAGATCGCTCGTAGAGAACACCTTGATGTTACGTTTACTGAGAAGAGTCGCTCGTAGAGAACACCTTGATGTTACGTTACTGAGAAGAGTCACTCGTAGAGAACACCTTGATGTTACGTTACTGAGAAGAGTCGCTCGTAGAGAACACCTTGATGTTACGTTACTGAGAAGAGTCGCTCGTAGAGAACACCTTGATGTTACTTACTGAGAAGAGTCACTCGTAGAGAACACCTTGATGTTACGTTACTGAGAAGAGTCACTCGTAGAGAACACCTTGATGTTACGTTACTGAGAAGAGTCACTCGTAGAGAACACCTTGATGTTACGTTACTGAGAAGAGTCGCTCGTAGAGAACACCTTGATGTTACGTTACTGAGAAGAGTCACTCGTAGAGAACACCTTGATGTTACGTTACTGAGAAGAGTCACTCGTAGAGAACACCTTGATGTTACGTTACTGAGAAGAGTCACTCGTAGAGAACACCTTGATGTTACGTTACTGAGAAGAGTCACTCGTAGAGAACACCTTGATGTTACGTTACTGAGAAGAGTCACTCGTAGAGAACACCTTGATGTTACGTTACTGAGAAGAGTCACTCGTAGAGAACACCTTGATGTTACGTTACTGAGAGAGTCACTCGTAGAGAACACCTTGATGTTACGTTACTGAGAAGAGTCACTCGTAGAGAACACCTTGATGTTACGTTACTGAGAAGAGTCACTCGTAGAGAACACCTTGATGTTACGTTACTGAAAGAGTCGCTCGTAGAGAACACCTTGATGTTACGTTACTGAGAAGAGTCACTCGTAGAGAACACCTTGATGTTACGTTACTGAGAAGAGTCACTCGTAGAGAACACCTTGATGTTACGTTACTGAGAAGAGTCACTCGTAGAGAACACCTTGATGTTACGTTACTGAGAAGAGTCACTCGTAGAGAACACCTTGATGTTACGTTACTGAGAAGAGTCACTCGTAGAGAGTTTCCTTAATAACTGTCTTCAACTATACATAATTATCTTCGTCTTCCTTCTGTGGGTCTGACAGTATCTGTTCTCCACCCATTACTAATATATGTTATATGCTGTCTGCCATTCTTTATAGCGCTCTGTCTTTGTTTACAGTCTCTACCATTGTTTATAGTCTCTCTACTATTGTTTATGTTGCCTATTATTGTTTGTATCTGCTCTTTTATTGTTTATAGTCTACTATTGTTTACTGTCTATTTTTTCATATCTGCCACGGTTTACTTTCTACGATTGCTTAGGATATCTATCTATATGTTTACTATTTGTCAGTGTTTACAATAGCTTCCATTGTTTACCTACTCTCTCCTATTTACCTACTTCTCCCGTTTCTCTATAATTCTTTATAGTCGCTATCATTGCTTATTATCTACCACTGATTGTCTTTCAACCATTGTTTATAGTCTCTAATTTTGTTTATAGTCGTTGCCATTGTTTATATCAATCATTGTTTACAGTTTCTATCATTGTTTATAATTTCTACTGTTGTTTATAGTCTCTCTTCCATTGTTTATAGTCACTATCATTGTTCACAGTCACTGCCATAATTTATAGTCTCTAGCAGTGTTTATAGTATTTCTACGATTGTTTATAGCCATCATTCTACTGATATTTCTATCACTGTTTATAGCCGTTATATTACTGATATTCTATCACTGTTTATATTCATTATATTACTGACATTTCTACGATTGTTTCTAGCCATCATGCTACTGATATTTCTACCACTGTTTATAGTTATTGTACTTGTGGTTTCTGTACCACAATTTATAGTATTTCTGCCTGTGTGTATAGTCTGTATATTTGTCTCCTTGCCATTGCTTGTGCGGATTATTCAATTCACTGCCGTTCCTAAGTTCTGAGAGGAAGAGGAGTAGGGTCAAGACGCTAGCAGTGAGAGTGTACAGTGAGTTTGAGAGGCCTGTAACATATGTAGGCCTACATGTCTACCAAACCTACAACCTTAGTCGTATGATTAATTTAAGTGTAGTCTTTTAACAGACTCCTATCAACTCTTTCTTATAAATATTTAAGTTATGTTAGAGTTAGATGTAGATTAATTAACCTATTACATACGATTACCTGTATGTAAGCCTGTACATCAACAGTGGGCACCTGGTGCCACCTGCCAGTATGGGACAACTACCCCACGCCAAGCTTGACCAGTCACTAAAAGTTTCTTGTACGATGGGGAACCAGCACCCCACCTAGGAACGACGGGTTTATCACAAAACAAGCTTAGAGTAAGAGTTGTACAGTGAAGAACACGAACCTCCAC